ATGCAGAGATGCTGGTGCAGGGGTACAGCCAAAGATAAGTGGTGTTCATAACATTCTTAAATACACCAAACAAATGATGCTTACCAGTGAGAAGGTGAGTAGGATATCAAGAGAAATGTATTCATAGACTGGGACACACAGTTTTGGCCCAATAATGGAAAAAAAAAGTCTAAGAAATCATTCAGAAAAAAAAATGAGTATTTGAAGCAGTGCATTGGTCTTCTTCAGCATAACAGCACTGGATTTTTTTTGTAGTGGAGGTAAGTGTGTGTAACAGGAGGGTAGCTGAGAAAGCCTTAATCAAATGTAGTTTTAAAAAAGCATGCATGAAAGAAAAGTTTTGTTATTTAGAAGTTTGGTGATTATGTATTTCGAGCAATCCTACCACCTGCAGCTTGAGTCAGCTAGCTACTTCAGAGACTTTTGGAAGGCACAAGTGAACAGATGGCGTGTTTGTGACACCATCAGGTAGTGGGCAGTGAATATTAGTAAACTGGCAAGTATCCACCAAAAATTATTCCAAAGCACATAATTAAATAAGTTATAAATAACAACCAAAAAATATTAAAAAAAAAATCTTAATAGTTGAGAAAGAAAGAATGAGGGGAGGAAACAAGACTTTTTTCCCAATGAATTACACAGACCTATTTCTTACTTTTTCCTAGTACATTACACACAGAGACCAATTAAAAACTCAATAAATTAAACATCCCTCAGATATTCTACACAACTGAAGCTAATTGCCTGCCATTTTGATATGGTCAAGTATATGTGATAACAATGTTCTTGTTCTCACCAGCACTAAGAAATAATACAGACTCAAAATAATGTCCCCCAGACATCACAAAAAAAACCCCCAACAGGTAGATGGTAAAAAAGTCCACTGATTGGCATAGAGCAGTGATTTGTATGAATGCCATATCCCCATATTAATTTTACTATCTTCAGCTCAGAAGCTTGGCAGTCCTGCCTGGGTTTTGATAGGACCCATTTTGGATTTTTTGTTCACTTTTCTCTCTGATTCAAGTTGGACATGAAGGATATTCTTGTTTAAAGCAACAATAAATTTGACTTATTTTCTATACAGTACAAAAGGAAACACTGCAATTCTGTACGCATTCTACTGATGATGCAGATACATCGTATCATTATTTAATATCCAATAATTAGTTAAAAAAACTCATATAAACAAGCAACTTCCATTCTGAAAATTCATTGTGGATACTGAGAGGTGAGGTCTAAAAGTGGAATAGAAATACAGTCACAGGACTTGAGAGAAGATTCTGGCTATGGAAAGGCAGCCAAACAGCTGTTGAGGATGACAAGAATCTTGCTAGGGCATGCAGAGATGCAGTCAGGAATGCTGAGGCTTGGCTAGAACTGAAATTGGCCAAAAATGTCAAGAACAACAAGAAAAGGTTCTTCAGATACACGAGCAGTAAGCAGGAGCACATAGAAGATGTAGGACAATTGCTAAACAGGGCAGGAAAACCAGGTATTTCTCTTTGCAAGGCCACTTGCAAATATTTGAAAAGTTGTGGAGATCAGGGGCTGTCCCTGATGACTGGAAGAGGGCAAATGTCATACCCATCTACAAGAAAGGCCCAAAAGGAGTGAGGTCTTTTCTCCCTGGAGAAGAGAAGGCTCAGGGGAGACGTCATCACAGTATTTCTGTACTTAAAGGGTGGCTACAAAGAGATTAGAGGCTCTCTCTCAACAAGGAGCCACATGAAGAGGACAAGGGGCAACAGGCACAGTTTGCACTGGCAGAGGTTTCATACCGACATAAGAAAGAAATTTTTTACAGTAAGAACAATTATTCACTGGAATATCCTCCCCAGGGACACGGTGGAGTCCCCATCGCTGGAGATTTTCAAGATGCAATTGGACAAGGTGACAGATAATCTCATCTAGGCTGCCCTTCCCGTGAGGGGATGGACCAGATGGTCTTTTGAGGTGTCTTCCAACCTGGGCTGTTCTATTATTCAAATTATCGTTTCCATCTTAATTGTAGGGTACAGGTTAACAACTATGAGTCTTGTGTATGGCTGAGTTTTATTTAGGATTTTTTGTGTATTGGGCGAAGACTGGGATTTTACAATACTGTCAGCACAGTTGACTTATGCACACTAGTGATCCCAACCTTTGAAGAGCTTGAGAGGTCAGGGAAATATTTACACCAACATTCCCCAGGCAAGAAGCTAAGACATGTCCAAGGGCGTTCGGGTCAGGCACCCAGGGAGCTGGTGGCAAACCAGGAGCTCACTGCAGGGCTCCTGTACTGCATCTTTTCTCACAAGACTCTTCTAGTCCATGCTCTTCCTCAAAGAACATCCAGCAGAAAGCAGAGACACTCTGATCTTCTTGAGTGAGCTTGAATAAGCAGAAACCTGTTTCCTATTAGGTGCTGCTGTTTGTGGTGCAGAAGACACTTTAACATGGGAAAGAGCTGAATGAGGGGAAATATCACAGAGGTCTGTGCAGTCACACGTGGCACGGGAAGAGTGACTAAGGAAAGAATGCTTAATGTTTCATCCGTTACAGGGACTAGCTGGTTGGTAGTAAGTACATTCAAAACAGACATGTGAAAGTATTTTTCATAAGATGTGTTCAAGCTGTGCAACTCCTTACCACAGAAAATTAGAGGCTTAAATTTTACATGGTCTCAAGGAGCGACTGGACAAATTAGTGAAACAGAAAGTCATTGTGTGCTGTTAAAAACAAAATATTTTTCCTAGGTCAGGAACTCCCTAACAAATTGTCAGAAAGTTGGAAAGTCATCTGGGGAAGTAACAAAAAATGTTTTATCTATTTTCATCCTATTCTTAAGGAACAGCTTTCAGCCACTATTGGAGGCGCGATGCTGGCCTAGACAGATTTTTGGACCATCCGGGAACAGCCCTGCTTGTATTCTTGGAAGCTGACAGAGAGGTCAGGGGAGGAAAGAGGGAGCCAGGAATTCTAGAAAACTGCTCTCTTCATTTTTTCTGAAAACCTGCCTGTCGAAACGGGTGCCAATTCACAAAGTGAAAAATTTCCTCAGTGTTTCTCCAAGACAGTCTGAAAGAATAACCGTCCCAAAGAGTCAAATCAGTAGCATCTTTGGCCCCAGAGGAATGAACACGGCAAAAAGATCATTCTGGATCAACTAGAAGTCAACACTGCAATAAGAAACTTTAAAGTCCCCTACTGAGTTCCTGGAAGGAGATTAGACTTGGAAAAAAAAAACCCCATACCATGCTTTGGGTCATGATTTCCACAGCCAGAAGAGCCTCAGTCTGCCCCAGGCTATAGCTGCGAGTTACCCTCAGGAGCAATTAACTACATGGATTCACCCTATCAATAATGGCACGAGTAAGGTTGCTCCTGGATGTAATATTTGGTGCTGGGCAGCGAGCCACGTGCAACGTCAGGCGAGCTCTACAGAAGGATTTGGCTGCAAACCTGCCAGGGCTGCAGCATGTGTAATGCTGGAAAACCATGAAGACGAGGAGTGTTTGGCATCCTGAGACCTGCGTTCTGCGGGGAGTCTCGGGCTACCAACGCGGGGTCTGCGAGAGAGTCAGTCCAGCTCCCTGCTGTGGAAAGGCAGACACTGAGCCAGAAAGGGCAATGAAGACTTCTTAATGGAATTAGAAAGATATTTTTATTATTTGTTTATGGTTTATTATTTTGTTCCCTATTCTCCTTGACCACTAAACCATTTCAGGTTCACATTTCACTACTGACCCATTCTTTCCTCCAGTTAACACCCAGAAACCCTCACATATATTTTTCTCTCTTCCTTGGTTTCTTTTAAATCCCAGTGACTAATGTGCTGTCTCTTTTCTTCCTCCCAGCTCTCGGCTCGGGGTTGTTTTTCATCGGACCCATGTTAACAGCTTCGTTGTTTCCCTGTATCCACAGAGAGAGCGCAGCTGCATGCTCTCCCTCGCTAAGCCCAGGAGAAGAAACCAGAAAACAAAGTCCCCCCAAGAGAGCCCAGCCAGTCTCTTCCGTAACAAGCCGAAGCAACTTTGGCAAAAGGACTGCTTCCGTGGGCAGACAGCTGAGCTCTCCCAGACAAATTTGGGGCTCAGAGGGCACAGACATAATAATTACCAGAAATACATCACACTCTCCTCTCCTGGCATTAGTCAGGCCGTTCCTAAATCACAAGGTGCAGTCTCTCTCTCGCTCCTGACTCTCTGGGCATGAAAAATTTTGCTTTCTGTCATTCTCTCCCGCTACAACTGCAATCTTTCTCCCTGAAATTATAAATGATAACACCTGCTGGGGCTCTTATTTGTTCGTTCCCCGTATCTCAGGCTGCTCCCTGTGTGAGATATTATGCCCACACAGAGGTACGAAATGTACAGTAGCTGCTTGTGAAGCTTCTATATGAAGGATGCAATGAGTATAAATAATGGTATTGTTCTGATGTTCTTCATCTTGGATCTGACAGAACATGCTCAAGAAACCCCAGGAACACACTAAAGCTGATGGAGAAGTCATTCACACCGTACCAGCGTAGCTGAAAACAAATGAGCAGGACTGCTCTGGACATCCTATTTTCCTTTCACCAGAATGTATTTATTCTTCAAGTCATACCATATTCATATTTACTTTAATGATTCATAAACATCCCAGGTTCCAGAAGCTTCTAATTAACTCATCTATTTAGTGTCGTTAACAGATGCTCAGGGAGTGATTTATTGTACAATACCGGATCACACCAACGTATAAATCCAGCCAATGGAACTGGCAGGCAGTCTGGGTAAATATCTTCTGCTGCTGGCAGCTGAGACTCTGTCCCAAATTCAGCATTAATGCCCTGCAGACTGCGGCTGAAGCATTATTGTTTGCTTCTTCTATTACTCTATAGATGTAGCATACATTGTACTGTACAACATCAGTCATTTCCCTCTTTTTTACAAAAAGATTTAGTGAGGTACCGCATAGGATTCAGGGTATACATTTATCCTGTCGGAGAAAAGAGGAAATCAATAGCCTCAAAGAAGTTTTCGCTCAAGATCCTTTTAATTTACCTCTGTCTTCATGTAGTTTCAAACCCAAAACAAGTCCCAAACAGCAAAACAATCCTAAACTTTATTAGAAAATCACACTGGGAGCCCCATCTATCCTAGAGATGTGGCTAGATCTCAAGAGGATTTATTGGTAAACAGGGGAGTGGGACTGGCCACTGCAGCTTTGGGCAGGATACGGAGCAGAGGACCTATAACAGTAGTATTTTACTTAGAAACTAGGATGGGTTTTCCTTTCAAATTTCAAAATGGTGTTGCCTGGGCAGGAGCTGTCTTCCAAAACCAAAAGGCTTAAATTATTTACCCCGCAGGAGAAGAGTTGCAGCCACCCTGCAGACAAATCTTACGGCTTTTCTCTGAAGAGCTCACTCCCTTTCCATTCCAGTTCTGCCCAATGGCAACACTGTGACTCAGTTTGTGTTAGCAAAATACTAAGGAAACACAGATAAATATTTTTTTAAATTCCTTAAGGTGGGAGTCACTAGAGGGCTGTTAAAATACTCTTTTTGGAGGGGGGGGTAATTACGCTTTTGTCTGTCTAGAGTCTTCAAAAAAAGGTATGTTGAAACTTTGTGTTTTGATGCACTAAAAGGGATTATTGTAAATAATTAGGGTATGTTTTCTGCTCAATTTTTAAAAACAGTATTTTTAGTTAAGTTACTGGGTTTTAATACACTTGTGTCTCAGAATGAGATTTTGAAGAGGAACCATCTCTGCTGTCTGCTCCAAGCTCGACTTACAGCAGTGCTTTCTGCGAGAGGGGCTTTGCAGAGGGGGAAGAAATACAAGAAATACCTAAGGGGGAATGGGAAGCAAAACTGCATTAACATGGCACCGTGCCCAAATAAGTGAAGGAGAAGGGACTATGACAGCTTGAGAAAGGTAATATATATTGAACAAATATGCTGCACATATTGCATCTTTCTAGGAGTTATTAAATTTCTCCTCAGGACCATTAGCAATCAATGTAGGAACAATGCCGTGATGAGTGTGACTTTGTAATTTTTAATTAAAGCTTTCCTCTCGAGTATAGCACCTTTCCATGCTGCTTCCATCTCTCGTGGTCGGTTCCCAAGGTGCACATGGAACAAGAAAGGCAGAGTCCGCTCCCCCCAGCTGTGTTAGAACAGCTTCCAGCCGGGGACACAGCAGCAGAGCACCCTGCCGCACGCAGAGCACACCCAGGAACCTCTCCTGCCCCGGCTGGGAGCAGCCTCTGCAGATCCCAGGGAACGACCCTGCAGTTTCCCCCAAAACTGGCCAACTCCCATCACTCCCGCTGGTTTCTCAAACTCCACAGAACAACTGGCCTTATAATTTGAAAAGCCAACAGAAAGCAGCGTACACTATAGCTGCCTATGTACTCCAGACATCCAACAATTAGATCTGTTAAGTAGAAACACACTGAGAAAAGTTAAGTATCTGGCAAAGCGAAGACTGGGAACACTGTGACAGCAAACTGATGCCACAGCAGGTACTATTCTACTATGCGTACCCCTCTTACGTCATCCCAGTCACTCACTTCTGCCTCTCAATGCCACCAAACATGCCAGGTAAGGCAAATAGCTACTAAAGAAAATCAGGTACTTGAAACAATTTTGGCAGTTCCCTCCTCCAGCCCTCATAGAATTGTCTAGGTTGGAAAGGACCTTTCAGATCATCAGGTCCAACCATCAACCTACCACTGACAAAACCATCACTAAACCATCTCACTAAGCTCTATGTCTAATTTATAATACCTTCAGGGATGGCAACTTGACCGCTTCCCTGGGCAGCCTGTTCCAGTGCTTGACAACCCTTTCAGTGAGGAATTTTTTCTTAATACCCAATCTAAACCTCCACCGGCGCCACTTGAGGCCATTTCCTCTTGTCCCAAGTTCTGTTCACTGTTCTGCTTACAGGACAATGAAACACGCAACAGGGTCCGAGTCCCAGCACCTCCAATGAGCTCTGTCCCAGGACTCCTCCACAGCTGTGCTACCCTGTGATGGCACTGGGTGTTAGGCAGGGCTTTGATTCAGCATTTCCAAGCTGCATTCTTCCTATTTAAAAAGGAAGAATAAACTAGAGATAAACTAGACATGCTAGAGATGCCATTATAATGTCAGGAATATCAACACAATCACGCACCCTTCAGGATCTTCTTCATAAATAAGAATCATGCACAGTAGACATACCAGTTCACGTGGAGTTTACAGAGTAATTTAGGCTGGAAGGGACTTCTTGAGGGCACCTGGGCACTTTGCAAAAGAGTTAACTTTTGTATTCAAACAATACAAATAAAATACTATGTTCTTATAGGTCAATTCCACATTCTGTAACAGAACAACTGTCAAAACCAGTTTAGCAAGAATTGCAACCCAGATTTAGAAAGAAGTCCAGCATCCCACCAAAAGCCATATGAAACCCAAGAAGCATTTCTAAAAAATTGCCTCTGATCACATAAACCCTCTGGCAAGAATCAAGATGTTGAAATGATGAGGGTTCCTAAATATTTTGTCAGAGACCCACTTTCTAAACAATAGAATAAATTATTAAGACAATAACCTGCAAATGTTGAGATGCAATAAGAAGCAGTAACACCTTATAAAAATAAGTTTTTATATTAGCGACTTGATTTCACATTACATACTGCATATTAATCTTTCTTTTTGCAAGCTCAAACAAAGTTCAAGTCCTGCATTGTTCACAAAGATGGGTTTATTCTTCTCCACTCTTCTGCACTGACTGCACAGCTTCTGCTTTAACCCTAATTCGCTTTCTTTTTCTTCTTTTCTTCTTTTCAGCAGAAGGCTCCTGACCCTCCTGTGTTTTCTTTTTCTTCTTCAGACAGCTGAGAGGATTGGGGCCACCTGCCCTTTTACGTTTTCTTCTCTTTTCACCTTCTTGCTTTGCTAGTCCTTCTTTTTCTTTAAGCTGCACAATACTTTGTTTTTGGTGCTCTGGAACAAGCTCATTCATCTGCAACTTTTGAACAAATGCCAAAGATTTAGGAGAAGGTTTGTCTAGCACCATAGTGTTCTGAATAATAAAGAGGAGAGGAACGCCAGCCTTCTTTTTCACTTTGTTTGCTAACTCCTGGTCCTGTAAAATTAAATACTTCAGTCAATATTTTGGGATTAAATGATATTTGCAATTCAAATGAACCTACTTTTAATACAAAACTATGAAGATAAATTACGTTATGAAAAAGATAAGAAACTTAATCTAGTAGATTTATGTGGCAGTGCCTTTCAGAGCAATTTATATTTCAATTCCTCTCCTTCTGATTAGCTGTACTTCTGACAAAAAATTTATTAACATTTCCTTTTTTCATGCTTTCTGAGGAAAAAGTACCAGTTCATTGGTATGCAGTCCACCACTTCACAAGAAGTAACACAATTTCTTTGTAACAAGTAATTTTAAACTCCTTATATCTTACGTAAGTATACAGAATTCTACTGTAAACCATTTTTATATATTGTATATTATTTATACATAGAGTCCCAATGACAGACCTAAGAAAAAACCTGCCTTTCTTATTTGTACACAAGTTCTATCTTTATTGCCTAGGTAAAACTTCCAAAATTTCTTAAAACTGAAATGCTATGGTTGTTCAACACTTAATTTCACTTTTCAGACTATTGTGCAAATCAGTTCAGGGCAGGGGATGCACACACAAGCAATATGCAAATTAACATTAATCAGTTGTTTACTTACATGTCAATAGGTAATCAATTTGTTTTATACACTTTCTGCTAAACTAAGCAATATTCTTCCAGGGTAGGAAAAAATCTAGTTGTTCGAGTAAGACAAAAGATTCCCTGCTTCATAACTAGCAAATACGTTTAAGAGTGAGTAAGGCTTTACAAGATTAATTCCCACATGCTATTTAACAAATCTCATAATCAAGGCTTCTGCAGGTTTCCTTATCCTTCGGTATCAAAGGACCACTTCAAATGAAATGGAGTTATGTTTTCCATGAGCACTTACCTGTGTAGCGATGAAGAAGTGATGAGGGTTGCCTTCTTCAATCATGGAAAGTAAACAGGCCGAACCACCCACAGGATCCTTGTGGTGAGAACAGCTTCGAAGTTGAAATCTTTGGGCAATTAATTTTGCTCCATACAGTGCCTTCCCCAGCGATTCCAGTTCTTTTAGAACACATCTGAGAACCAAAACCAACAGTGATTTCTAAATGAGAAAACAACTACACATTTTTCACAACAGCAAAAGGTTGACATGAGTTAATTACGAACAAGCAATGCTCTGTTGTTCAGGATTCTATGATTTCAGTAACCTGAAAGCAGTAGCCCCTCTGAAGACACATGCGAGATTTCCTCAATTCCAAACAAGAGTTACCAGTAACAACGTTAAGTTATATCAAATGATTTTAAAATATTTTGTATCAGTGCCAATGCTAAGCCCTTTACATTTATGTTCAGCTACCACCTAGCATATGAACTATTACTTAACAAATAAAATTATTGAACTAGCACAAACTGATTAATGACTGCGTGCAAGTTAAACTCTGTATTAGCATCCATCACCTGGCTTCAAGCTTGCTATGACAATCCAACTGACTCTAGCAGCAGAAGAAAAAAGACTGTCCATGTGATTAAAAATCTGGAAGTTTATGGCTCCACAGCATTCCAACTTGACAATAAGATGCAAACTTAAAATTTTCCTCTTAAAAGGACTCAGAGCAGATGTTCACATGCGACAGTGTGGCAGTCTATGAGGGTGCTACCTCGGATACTCAGGAATGAACAGGAGATGAAACCTAACCTACTCCGTCCACTGAGTCTTATTGTTAAATGTGGACAGTGACAGGAATGCATGGCCTTGAAATACAGCTTCAAGGACATGGTAGCAACTATTTTTCTTTACAGAGAAGAGAGTTTAACCTTTGAGGACAGTCTCTGTGGAGACTTGAGCCTGTTCTTTTTGCAAAGACTCTCACAGTGAGCCAGATCATTTCCTCAGGGAAGCTCTGGTCGTGCCATTGAGGTGCTGCCTCACCATCTTAGCATTCTGACAGCAGAGACAGCTGCCCTAAGTGAAAACAGGCCAAAAAGACCAAAAGATATTGCTACAAGAAGTAAGGAAGAAGTGACATTTAGATATGACTGGAATACAGTCTGGATCAGTGATTCCCAAACCTTTCTCAACTAAGGTCATGACTTGATACTATCTACTGTTTAGAAGTACAGGCCAATTCTGTGTGCTTTGCAAGGGTATACATCTTCCTGATATTTTCAGTATTTGCCTCCACAATGGGCAGTTGGCTATTCTGTCACTACAGAAATCCAAACGCAGGAGAGGAAGGTGATTCTACCCCTCTACTCCTCTCATGAGACCCCACCCGGAGTACTGCATCCAGCTATGGGGCCCCCAACACAAGGACATGGATCTATTGGAGTGAGTCCAGAGGAGGGCCACAAAAATGATCAGAGGGATGGAGCACCTATGCTATGAGGACAGGATGAGGGAATTGCGGTTGTTTTGCCTGGAGGAAGCTCCAGGGACATCCTATAATGCCCTTCCAGTACCTGAAGGGGACCTACAGGAGAGATGGGGAGGGTCTCTTTGTCAGGGAGTGTAGTGATAGGATGAAGGGTAATGGTTTTAAACTGAAAGAGGGGAGATGTAGATATTAGGAGAAAATTCTGTGAGGGTGGTGAGGCACTGGAACAGGTTGCCCAGGAAGGTCATGGATGCCCCATCCCTGGAGGTGTTCAAGGCCAGGCTGGATGGGGCATTGAGCGACCTGGTCTGGTGGGAGATGTCCCTGCCCACGGCAGGGGGTTGGAACTGGATGATCGTTAAGGTCCCTTCCAACTCTGACCATTCTGTGATTGTATGATTTCACCGTATGCAATATACAAAGTCAAGTAAAAACAAAGACAACCTCAAGGCGACTTAAGACGCTTAGTGTGTGTGCTTCACCTCCACGCCTTTGCCTGGACATCCCTGTTCTCCCTTGAGAACAGCTACTTTGGGAACAGCCCCTCGCTGACAAGCCGAGGCTCCAGACACCTGGTCACTCCCCCCTGCCCAGGGGATCCGACCTCGCCCCGCTCTCACTCTCCCGGGCAGCGGCCGGGAGCGGCCCGGCCCGACCCTCCGCACACCCCGGGGTTACCCCTCGCCCCTCAGTTTCCCTCACTCTCGGCACGGCAGCCCACGGCCACACCTCCCCATCGCCCTCAGGCCCACCGCCGGGCCGCCCCCGCGGCCCCCTCCCCACCGCCGGGGCGGGATGGGGGGAGACCGAAGGCCGGAGGGCGGCCATGAGGCGCCGCCAGCTCCCCCACGCATGCGCACGGCGCCGGGCGGCCTCCAGCCCTCGCCGTGGTCCCGGTCCCCGTCCCCGGGCCTGCACGCCGGGACTGCCCGGCGCCCCTTCCCCCGCCCCGGCCTTACCGGGTGGTGCAGAGCTGGGTGGCGCCCCCCAAGTAGCCGGGCAGCTGCTCCCGGATCTGGATCTTGTTGCGGAGCGCGGCCTGGCAGAAGGTGCCGTCCAGCAGCACCTGGAAGGGCTCGCGGAAGTGGAAGTTGTGCTTGTAGAAGCCCATGTTCTTCTTGGCGTGCTTCTGCCGCTTCAGCTTCATGGCGGCTCCCCCGGAAGCCGCGGCCGAGCGGGGCGGGGAGGGGCGAGGCCTGCGCGGCCTCCCGCCCCCCCCACGCCGGGGCCTGAGGGAGCGGGGGCCGGGGCGAGCAGGGCCGGGGGCTGGGCGAGGGTCTCCCCTCCGGCTGCGGTGTGTGGGGTGCCTGCGGGAGCGGCCCGCGCTCCTGCCCGCCCTGCGAGGGGGCTGCAGGGGGTCCCGGGCACCATCGGTCACCTGAGGACTCGATGGGGGTCGGGGCCTTGGTCCCAAGTAGCAGGGGGTAGGACAAGTGGTAGGACAAAGGGAGACGGCCTCAGGGGTCTCTTTGTCAGGGAGTGTAGTGATAGGATGAAGGGTAATGGTTTTAAACTGAAAGAGGGGAGATGTAGATATTAGGAGAAAATTCTGTGAGGGTGGTGAGGCACTGGAACAGGTTGCCCAGGAAGGTCATGGATGCCCCATCCCTGGAGGTGTTCAAGGCCAGGCTGGATGGGGCATTGAGCGACCTGGTCTGGTGGGAGATGTCCCTGCCCACGGCAGGGGGTTGGAACTGGATGATCGTTAAGGTCCCTTCCAACTCTGACCATTCTGTGATTGTATGATTTCACCGTATGCAATATACAAAGTCAAGTAAAAACAAAGACAACCTCAAGGCGACTTAAGACGCTTAGTGTGTGTGCTTCACCTCCACGCCTTTGCCTGGACATCCCTGTTCTCCCTTGAGAACAGCTACTTTGGGAACAGCCCCTCGCTGACAAGCCGAGGCTCCAGACACCTGGTCACTCCCCCCTGCCCAGGGGATCCGACCTCGCCCCGCTCTCACTCTCCCGGGCAGCGGCCGGGAGCGGCCCGGCCCGACCCTCCGCACACCCCGGGGTTACCCCTCGCCCCTCAGTTTCCCTCACTCTCGGCACGGCAGCCCACGGCCACACCTCCCCATCGCCCTCAGGCCCACCGCCGGGCCGCCCCCGCGGCCCCCTCCCCACCGCCGGGGCGGGATGGGGGGAGACCGAAGGCCGGAGGGCGGCCATGAGGCGCCGCCAGCTCCCCCACGCATGCGCACGGCGCCGGGCGGCCTCCAGCCCTCGCCGTGGTCCCGGTCCCCGTCCCCGGGCCTGCACGCCGGGACTGCCCGGCGCCCCTTCCCCCGCCCCGGCCTTACCGGGTGGTGCAGAGCTGGGTGGCGCCCCCCAAGTAGCCGGGCAGCTGCTCCCGGATCTGGATCTTGTTGCGGAGCGCGGCCTGGCAGAAGGTGCCGTCCAGCAGCACCTGGAAGGGCTCGCGGAAGTGGAAGTTGTGCTTGTAGAAGCCCATGTTCTTCTTGGCGTGCTTCTGCCGCTTCAGCTTCATGGCGGCTCCCCCGGAAGCCGCGGCCGAGCGGGGCGGGGAGGGGCGAGGCCTGCGCGGCCTCCCGCCCCCCCCACGCCGGGGCCTGAGGGAGCGGGGGCCGGGGCGAGCAGGGCCGGGGGCTGGGCGAGGGTCTCCCCTCCGGCTGCGGTGTGTGGGGTGCCTGCGGGAGCGGCCCGCGCTCCTGCCCGCCCTGCGAGGGGGCTGCAGGGGGTCCCGGGCACCATCGGTCACCTGAGGACTCGATGGGGGTCGGGGCCTTGGTCCCAAGTAGCAGGGGGTAGGACAAGTGGTAGGACAAAGGGAGACGGCCTCAGGTTGCGCCAGGGGAAGTTTAGGATGGATATTAGGAAAAAATTCTTCACCGAAAGGGTTGTCAAGCACTGGAACAGGCTGCCCAGGGAAGTGGTGGAATCGCCATCCCTGGAGGTAATTAAAAGATGGGTAGATGTGGCACTTGGGGACATGGTTTAGTGGTGGACTTGGCAGTGTTAGGTTAATGCTTGGACTCAATGATCTTAAAGGTCTTTTTCTGACCCAAATGATTCTGTGATGTGGTTTTGGAGAGATGAAATCATAGAATCATAAAATAGTTTGGGTTGGAAGGGACCTTTTAAAGGTCATCCAATCCAACCCCTCTGCAATGAGCAGGGACATCTTCCACTAGATGAGGTTGCTCAGAGCCCCGTCCAACCTGGCCTTGAATGTTTCCTGGGACGGGGCATCTACCACCTCTCTGGGCAATTTGTTGGACTCAATCTTAAAGGTCTCTTACCAAAACAATTCTATGATTACCCTGTGTTTTGCGGTACTACGCTAGCTCCTGCCGTTTGCTAAGGTCAGAAAGACACACAGTTTTCTTTTTTCTAGTTCAGTATAATGATTAAAGTACAATTACCATCCCGGAGACTGTAGTTTAATCATGCATTGGCATACTTACCTTGGGAAAGCTTATTCAATACCTGCCTATGTTGTTTGCCTGTACTGGCTACATCAACATAAGCTCTATGTGCACAAAATTGAAGTTGAAAAGCATATATTCTACATTTTAATACTCCTCATTTTTTCCAATGACAAATAGAAAATTTACTTTCGCTGAAGCCTAGGGAATCGGCTCTCATTCAGCAAGCTAGATTGCACAAACTCCTCCCTGGCTGACAGAAAACATGAGCACACCAGACATCTGGCAGTTAAGAAGCTGAACTTAATGCCTGCATTTCAGGCAGGCAAAGGGATATGATATCATAACACCATCAAAATAATAATTAGAGACATCTGTCTTGCTGTGCAGGTACAATGGCAGACATCATTCTGCCAGGAACAACTGTATTGCAAGTGAAATTTGTAGCTACCTGCCAGTTAGCTCACTGTAATCAGTCAGACAGCTCTCAGGTCATTTAAGCAGATACCCACCTGTCATATTGGTCTTTTTGCTACCAGATAGACACGGGAAACATCTGCTTCTAAGCAGGTTAGTTAGTGTTAAGAGAAACTGAAAAATAATGCACTTAATTACTGTTCTAGAAATTGAAAAGTTTAAGTGGGAAGATATTTTAAAGTGCTCCAGGATAAACAGTGGGTAGAACAGGTGATAGAGAGTATTTTCCATAAGATATGACTGTGCTGTTGACAGTATTTTTTTTTTCTGTGTTGCATTAAAAGGTGTTTTGTGTCTATTTCAGAGCTGGGAGCTCTGAACAGCTCAGTGTTTCCTTGTCTCAGATCCTGCCAAAGGCCTTCACTGGGACAGCATCGCAAAGCTGTTAAGATAAATGATTCCCTCTTTCAGAGCCCTGCTAAAGGCCTTCGCTGAAACAGTTCAACATGTGCCTGTTTCAAAGCCCCGCAAAGGACTTTCACTGAGACAGCTTGCCAGGCTGAAAAGATAAAATGATTTATTGAAGTGACAGGTAAAACAGATTTGGGATTGCCATTGATAAATGCACTGGCTGCTATAGCCCTAATCCACTACAATGATGCTAGCAAAATAAATGAATAAATGAGTAAACGAACAAATGAATAAATAAGTAAATGAACAAATGAATAAATGAGTAAATGAATAAATTCTATCCTGGGAGTTCTTTCACCAAGAATGCAAGATGCAATGCTTACCAAGCAGCTACCCTCTCTTGATAGAGGAAGAGGAGCACAGCCCTCCGACTGTCCCTTCTCCATCTCAACTTCCTTCTTCCTCGGAGAAATTTCCTGATGATCGTGTGTAGGTGCGAGTATGTATATCCAGCTACCCTCTGTATTGCCCCTTATATCCTAACCTTATCTGATCCCCTCCCTGGGGTGATGTTTTAGCATGATTTGGGTGGAGAGTCAGCTGCCATAGTCATCTGTGTTTAGCATGTTCTTTTTGCTCATATCATACTTAGGGGTGTCAACTTTAATATTAATTTTGTGGATGTTTAAGCCAAAGGTCTCAGTCCTGGCAGTGGGCAGTGCGGCCTTCAAGATTCTTTGCTGAAGCTGTTTATTTGCTTCTTCCTTGGCTCCTGCAACTTAGAGCCAAAATAGGGCTGTGCTGCCCTCACAAGACTCCCTCCTTCAGCTGTTTTCACACCGAGTGCATCAGCACTGTTAACCTCTTCTCTACCAAGTTCCCACATTCTGTCATTAAATCCTTCTTTGAGGTGTCTTCAGGGCACAGTTTCACATGCTCATGAGTATCACGGACACACAAAGATACAGGTCTTATTCTATAAGGTGATACATTGAATTCATTGGTCTTTATTATTCAGTCTTATGGCTGACGTATTCCCTTCCTGGCATGGTGTTTCTGTTCCTCTGTGGAACTTTGCAGTTTCATTATTAAAAAAATTGGACAAAACCACTCAGTGAGACTCCAAAGTAAAACCTTATTAGATTTTTTCCTTCTTTTTTTTTTTTTTCTCTCCAAATTAATTGTCCAAAGACAGGCAGTTATTGGTTATTAAGAATACTTTGCCAGCACATCTCGCAGTGGAACTGCCATCTAGAAAGTGGAGTCTGCAATGGTAACAGCTGCTATTGCAGAATGGACATAAAAAGGAGAAGTAAATGAGAACTTGAACTAGTCATCATTTTGCACTAAATACAAAGTAAAATATGATGCAGAGTAGGTTGTTAAATACCATTGTGATGACAGTGATGACATACTCCTTCACTGTTTGTTTGGGAAATAGTACCATCACAGACAAGTTGTAATGCCGTTGGTATGGTAAAATATGTTGAGAAGGCTGGCCAGCAGGCAAAACAACAGCACAGATTTCTGCTGCTTCGTTGTGCAGAGGATAGCGTTAATTGTATGATAAACTGCTTGCAGTACCATTCTGTAAATTGTATTTCACTTCTATGCAATCCTTTTAAAGTTTCTTTTTGATAAATGTTAAGTGTTGAAATTAACGTCTGTAGGAATACTATAGCAATGCAGAGAAGTTTAAGTTTTCAACATTTTCTTTGATGGTTTGACAGTATCTTACATATAAGAAAATTCTCCATTTTCCTTTTAAGTCCAATTATTTTACTATTCCCATGAGCAATCTGTAGAGTGGATTTTTTAAAAATTAGCCTAAGGATCTTATGGGAGCTGCTGAATCCAGTGGTCTCCAGGACTGGGGGGTTGCTGCTCCTGGCTGCTGAAGACCACCCATGTCCACTCTTTGGACCGGGAGGGGTCTTAGGCTTACATGTGTCCTGCACAAGCATATGCACACACACACACACATACACACAACACACACAGAGGACATATATAATATAAGCACAGCCAGTGAATCAGACCACTGTCTGCTCACACGTGAGCCCCCCTCCTCCCCATTTTCCTAGATGTCCCCCTAGATCCACCCTGATCCTTCCTTTCCCTGTCTTTGACTATTCTGTGAACATCCTGTAGTAAATTTTGCATAATGCCACAAGCCTCTGCTGATATCCCATAAAAAGTTTTGCAGAGTGCCATACACCCCCTCATAAAACTCATGATAATCATGTTTTCCCCCTCTTGCCAGTGATGAAGGTCAGGTTGATTGTCTTCAGGGTGGCTATCTCGGTACCTCCTTTACTGGCCTGAGGAGTTAATGCTCTTCACCATTGTCTTGGTTACTGCCTGCTTATTTGGCATTATTTTTTTGTGTGTCTGTGTGTGTTTAATATATCACTTTCCTTCTTATTTCTTTTATACTAAATAATCCTTAAGCAGATGACTTAATGAAGCAAGTGGTCTGGCATTGCACATACCCTTACAGAAACTGTAACACAGCAAAGCTTTTCATAAAGCTCAGAGAACAATACTTTTTGGAAATTACTTGCTATTACATTTTTAATTGAGAAGTTTCATCAGTTTTGTGGCTGCACCACTGAAAGACTTTGAGGTTTTGTTTTGTTTTGTTTTTTTTAAGTGACCCATTTTATTGAAGAACTGACAAACCAGTTGCCGTACGGATAGACTGCCCACCAGCAGCATCACTGGGGAAGTGAACCTGAGGGGGAGAGTGGAACTTGTTGATGCACTACCTTTATTAATGTGTCTTGTTTTTCCAAAGACAAGAACCAGGATCTGAAATTAGGAACTTCTTTTGCTGAAACAGAAGTTCCTGATTGCTGCCAGACTGGATACTGGTCTAGGGTACAGTTCTGCTCTAACAAAGCCATTCTTGTGATTTTAACAATAATATTAATGCCTTAAGGGTAAATACACAGTATTTATGAAAATAAGGTGTCACACTGAAGGAGACCTCCTATATATCCAAAGAACTTACCAAATCTGAGCAATGCTAGGCGTCACGGGAAGCCTGGCTTCGCCCCTTGCACTGCACACTAAACTTCCTTCAGCAGAGTATTAGCTCTTTGCAGGGAAGAGCATCTCTTGGCATATATGAGTTCAGCTCTGCTTTTGAGATACTAGGTAATGCAGCAGTAGAATTAAATAACGTAAAATTGCTGTGACATGTGGATTACTTGTAGCGAAAGCTGTTCTTTATCAAAAGAGCTTTGATGTTGGCCTAATAACAAAGATTTCCCTTAATAGCTGGCAC